GAGCACTCAGAGTCAGTTGGTGAGCCTCCTTGCTTTCCGGAGAATCCATTTGGTTATGTTTTGTTTTATTGCTTTTGGTTATTTCAATTGTTAGGATGATCGAGGGTCTTGTCCCAACATCTCCTTAGTATCTAAAGGCTTCATAGTCAGTTAGATATGAGTTCTTTAGTCTTAATATTTAAGTTGTTTGATTTAAAGACTTCAGTTACCATTTTGGCTAAGTTGAATGTTATTTTCTAAACATTCTTAGTTTATCTATTAGACAAATTTTTTTTAGATTGTATTTAAGCACATTTTCTATGAGTAAGTCTTCCACTAAGAGTCTAGCTAGGCCAAGGGTTCGCTTGGGACCAACAATGGTTCTTGAGTGCCAATCCCGCCCAGGGTGTAGGCTCGGGGCGTGACAAACTTAGTATCAGACCCCAGAGTTTAAGAGTCCTAGAGAGTCTATGAAGCCATGTCTGTAGAGTCTAGTTATCAGTGTGAAGCGCGCCACATCTATAATTAGGAGGCTGCAACATTTAGGAACCATCTCACTTCTTTCAGATTTATTTCGTACGATAGAGTTAATCTCTATAAAGTTTCTTTCTAACTCGTGCTTGTGAGTGTCTTTAGATCATGTCTCCACGAAGGGCTGTCAGAGGTCGTCCCACCAGAAGGAATGTTGAACCACAGGAACAAGGGGTACCTAATGCACTTGAATTGCAACCCCAAGGAGAGGTCACCAATGTTAAATTCCGTAAAGCTATCCAGATGTTAAGTCAAGCTGTGACCAATCAAGTTGGACAGAGAGAGAATCGACATGAAAGGGCTGATACTTTAAGGATCCGTGAATTGTTAATGATGAATCCTCCGAGCTTCACTGGTTCAAGCATCATTGAGGATCCGAAGAACTTCGTTGATGAGCTTCAGAAGGTTTTTGAGATTATGCATGTCATCGATGCTGAGAGAGTGAAATTAGATGCATACCAACTAAAGGGTGTCACTATAATCTGGTTTGATCAATTGAAAAAGAATCAAGCTGAGGGTGCACCACTTGTGAGTTGGGCTCTTTTAAAGGAAGTCTTTTTGGGGAGTTTCTTTCCTCGAGAACTGAGAGAGGCAAAGGTACGAGAGTTCCTCACACTTAAGCATGATTCTTTGAGCGTTCATATGAGTACAGTCTAAAGTTCGCCCAACTTTCACACTATGCTCCAGAGATAGTTGCTGACATAAGAAGCAGGATGAGTTTATTTGGTGCTGGGTTGTCTCGCCTGTCAAACAAGGAAGGCAAGGCAACTATGTTGATAGGGTATATGTACATACCAAGGCTAATGATCCATGTGTAACAAGTTGAGGCGGACAAGTTGAGGGATAAAGAAGAGTTTAAGAATAAGAGGGTTAAGACATCAGGGAATGAGTCCGGGCAGCAGAAGAGTAATGTCAACCGGTCATCCTTCCAACAGAAACAAAAGGGACATGTTCCATTATCTACTAGTGCACTTGCACCAAGGAACAAAGGTGAGTACAATAGTCAGAATTCACAGGTTTCAGAGCTAGACCTGCCCATTCTCAAGGTAGTATGGCACAAGGGGTAAGTAAGCCTCCTGAATGTGCTAAGTGTGGTAGAACACTAATATAAATATTGGTTGATCAAAATATCTTTTAAATATTGATCAATCGGCTTTTATACCCTTTAATTTTTTTTTATTAGTTGCTTATTTTTCAAATTATTTTCCAAGACCAAATATTAAACATTAATTAATATGATTAGTATAGTAAAATAGTCATAGATCAATCATTATTCTCTTAATTAAAGTCGTTCTATAATGCAACATAAAAAAATTGTGTTGTTAATTTTAATGCAATCTATAATGCGATAACTTTATAAACATATTTTTAAATAAAATTGTTTTCAATTATAAAAATATGACATTTTCTGTTAGACAGATTAACAATATATTTTTAAAAATGTGTCGCATAAATTGAAACGTGTAACTCACATCATATGCCTATTTATTTAGTGCAT